TACTGCACACTAACAACACTTTGAGGGGATATCGGTGATGTCTGTCTGCTCTGTCCTGGACTCAGAGAAAACAGATACATAAGACCATGCTCATTCTTCAAATACCTTCTACTGAAACAGCGATATCGTTTTATCCTTTCTCTTTGATCAGCTATTGCATACCACACTTCTTTACTATCACAGATGCACGTGCATTGTGACAGTTTATGTGGCAAAACCAGAAAGCATCAGTAAAATGAAGAACAATTCAATCAGCAGACAGCAGCATAGACCCTTTGCTTCAGGAAGCAGTGCACACAACAGCCTATGCAGGTACAAACTAATCTTAAACCAACTCAGGAGCTCTTGATAGGATACCCACACTACTTCTTCAACAAACTGCAAATTGCTTCAGACCCGTGCTAAGCATCTGGTGAGCTAGCTAAGCTTACAGTAAGTGGGATGCATCTACTTATCCCCATTACAATAACCATGTACTGCTAGTAAGATGCATTTTTTACTGTGATTTCTTGTTTTCACTGAAATTGTAACACAGATTTGTGTTCTTAAATTAAACTTCTTGTCCACTACCAGTTAAAAGGCAAAGACATACTCTACAGGTAAGGGATCACGCTGATTTTCTGGAAAATGTCTCTTACTGCCACCAAAAAAAAAAAAAAAAAAAAAAAAAAAAAAGATCATCAACCAACATAGCTCAGAAAGTTATGGAAATTCTTTCCCAAAGTAGCAGAGGATGGCAAACAGATGGAAGGAGAAAAATATTAGTTGTGGGTCAGGTCGTGGAGACTGTCAGAAAAACTAACTAGTTGGAAGTTTGTGCAGGGCAAAGGCTTGGAGAAAACTTAAAGCAAAAAGCTAGTAAGGTGCTGTTCACTCCAACCCACTCACACGTTTAGACAAAACCAAGAGGAAAGTCAATCATTTAGGTTAAATTGATGTTTGCCCAGAATGGTTACTAGCAATGCTGCAGGAGTCTGCAGTATAAGTAACAATAAAAAGCAGGATTAACAAACAATGCATCTTCTTTCAGTGCACCAAAATCCTGTCGTTTCTTTTCTTTGAAGCTTTAACTACTTTGTAGTCACTGGATTAGAAGACTTGAGGACTTGCATACTTTCCAGACATGCTGAGCCTAATGACAACTTCCTTTACAAAGCAACAGCCTCACAATGAATAAACAAACTTAAATAGCAAGCTATCCTTCGCACAGAGAACATAGTGACAGATGCTATAAATTAGACCAAATACTCTAAGTAGCATTTCTTTCCTCTGAGCAACCGCACAACGCAGCAGAGAACATCTACAGAAAGATTTATGTAGGAAAACCGAAGGGAGTTTGCTTCATATTTTTGCTTTGCTTGCAATGTTCAAAATAATAAAAAGAGGATCTGAAAAATAAATTATCTCAGTCAAAAGTGTGATTAAAGACTTCAGATGCTGATGGCTTCTATCTGACATTTTCATTGAACACAAAATGTGAATTTCAGGCTTTGAAAAAAATAGTGAAACCGTGAGGAGGAGACAAGTCTTGTATACAGAAGATTCACATTGACTATCAAATGAAAGAGAGTACCTATTACCATTCTCCCTTTTACAATGTCAATCTCATTGGCTAGTGGGTTAAGTCTGATTCCTAATTAGTGGTCAAATATATTTCCATGCCAATGACAATTCTGCAAGCTAAAGTGCAGTGAGTGTAGAAAAAGATCAGCTTTCCTGCAAACAACTGGAAGCTCACTAAATAGGACGAATTTGCCAGGTCTGCCAACTGGTCCTTTTCTCCCTGCATCTTGCATTTCTATTTACAGCAGAAAAGCGATTAAGGAGAAAACACCAATTCCATTACAAATGCTTAACATAATCAAGACACTCCAGGGGAAAAATCATTCAGTGTCAACCCTTGACCCTAAGATAAACTTCACCACTGAATTGCTTAACCATTTAATTAATGCAAGAAAAAGCTTTAATAAAGTTTGGCCATGCTTAAGGTAGTCTGCGTAGTCGATGCCATTTATTAAAAAGCTGTGTGAAGATTCCTTGTATTCAAAGCTGCACGGACTTTTACCAGGTGACCTAAGTACACTTTCCAGAGCTGAATCTCATTTATTAAAGTCAGGAGGGGGCTATAGCTAAATCCCATGCAACTTTAAAGATTCAAGCATTTTACAGCTTTTTGTAGTGAGGCATTTAAAAGCGCTCAGAAGTAATCTGTGCTTTATTCATTTCTCTACTAACACCGTACTCTAAGAAACGAGTCGGTTTTTTTTCTTTGTAATGTTGGGTAGAAGTTTACACACCACAGGGCTTGCAAAATCATAGCACAGAGTTACCATTATGTTTTCGTTCCCAGACGCTCTGTTGACAGAAATTATTTATTTTTTAAACACAGTGTTCTGCATACTTTGTGAGTCACGTGAGTATTAACTTCAGGTCGAATAAATTCCTATTTAACGGTAAAGGGGTGAAACAAGTTAAGTAAACTGCAGTGTGTGTCCTGGAAGCGGAGCACATTGTGCACCTACACTTCCAGGAAACCAACATGCCAGTCCCTGCCCCTTGGTAACTCGGTCGTATTCCGAAGAGAGACCAGAAAAGACTGAAATAACCTTTTTCAAAAATAAACACCGAAATTAAGCGTGGGCGAACACACACTCTCTTTGCCGTTAAGCGAGTCTAATTAGAGAGAGGAGCACAGATTAACGACAGCAGCCCCCAAGGATGCGTGGGGGGGCTCCCAGCCGCTCCGCAGCACGTCGGGTGCGGGCAGGGGAGCCCCCAGCTGCACCGCCTGCCCACGCTTCCCGCAGCTGGCTGGGACCACCAGCGCAAGCCCACTTTTGGGGCAGCACAGAGACAAACACAAATGTTGTGTACGCGTCCCCCTCGGCGCCGGTTTGCGGTCGCGCACTGCCCCCAGGACGTTTCCCCGACGTGGGGTGCCCACGGGTGACGGGCACAGGCAGAAGCAGAAAGCGCTGCCGTCCTCAGGGCACGGCGTTTTGGGGCTTTTTCTGCGGGGAAAGGGCAAGCAGCGGGGGGAGAGGGAAGGGCTCTGCCTCAGAAGACACCTCCCCCCACCCCCCGAGTCCCCGCTGGGGAGAGGATGGGGGGGCAGCCCGCGCAATTTGTTAGCGGTCTCCCCCTTCAAAGGAGCAATAAAGGCGCTAGGAAAAATAAACGCGACGGGAACTGACCCCAAATCTGCGAGCGGTGACACCCTCCCCCCGGAAAACCCCCAGACCTCCAGCTTTCTGCTGACCCTTTCCCTTCACGGTAAGGCAACAAATGGCAAGACCTAGGACCCCGGCGCTGAATAACAGGAAATATAGGCATCTGTCACCTCCCGGGGAGAGGTAAATGGATTAGCGAGAGCAACAAAGGGAAGAAAAGCCCTTTCAAACGTGCAATTGATTAACAAGTCCCCTCTAATCTGCAGCATCACTGTTTTTCCTTAAAGACATCATCGGTCTCCTCCTGCACCTCGGTGCAATTAAACCAGGGCCGGGAAAGGCGGGGGAGGAAGGCGCTGCTCGCCCGCCCTCCCGGCCGGGACAGAAGGAGAAGGGTTTCCAGCCCGGCACGGAAACGGTGCCTCCTCTCACCTCTCCCTCAGTCCCTAGGCGAAGCGCGCCGAGAAAGAGTTTCTGAGCAAGGTTTATCTGCCGCGAAAGGGGAGAGGGCAATTCTGGAGGGAATGGTTTTAGGAAAGATCAAAGAGCTGAATCCGGCAGCTCCTACCCCCCTCCCAGCGCGTTTCACATCCCGGGTAAAACGAACAGGGTAAACCACCCCCCTTTCTGCTCCGAAAGCGCCACACATTTTAGGCGTGCGTGGAAGAAGGGGGAAAAATTATTAAAATATAAATAAATAAAGAAGAAGAAAAAAAAAAGTTATACGGCTTCTTTTACAGGAACTCTTACACCATCGCGGCTCTCTAAGCCCACACGCTCCCTAAGGTCCCTATAAATCACGGCGCTCGCCTCGGAGGTGCCGGACAAACTGGCAACTGTTCAGCAGCCGCTCTGCCGCTGCCGCGGCGCAAGGTCAGATGTTAATAAGGGCAGCTTATTCAGCCCCAAAAACAATCGCGGAGCTCGCTGAACCGAGTCCTAGCGTTTCCCGAGCCCAAAGGCAGACCTCCTCCGTCCCCGAGAGTCGACCAGGTACCCAAGGGACATGGGACCCTTCCGAGCTCGGAAACACACAGAAGGAGTCTCTGCTGAGCCTCCGTCGGCTGCAAGCGCGGCGGCTGCCCCTCGCCCATTCGGCTTTAAGCCCCCAGCCCCCCTCCCCCTGGTTCCCGCTGAGGTTCTGGCAACACTCAACGTCCCAAATAATAACACATTATTATAACCGCTCCGAGGGGAGGGCTGGAGGGCGGGCAGACTGAAGGAGGAGGCTCCACTCGCTGCTATCCACCCTCGGCAACAACAAAACCCCGAACTTTTCCTTTGTTTTCTCCCTCTTCCCCCCTCCCACCGACCGCCACCACCCAGCTCCGGTGCGCGGCGGCGGCGGCCGGGGGGGCGCACGGAGCGCCCACCGCTGCCGGAGCGGGGCAGAGGCGCAGGGATGCACCGGGGAAAGGTGAATTTTTGGCGAGCCCTCCTCAGGAGGGGTCACTGCCGCCCGCCTCGTAAGGAGGTGACATCAGGTTTTCATTTTGCAAAGAAACAAAAAACAGAAAAGAAAAAAAAAAAAAAAAAAAGAAAAAATAAATAAATAAAAAAAAAAAAAAGAGGAGAGAAAAGAAAAAGTAGGAGAGAGAGGAGAGGAAAAAAAAAAAAAAAAGGAGAGAAAGAAAGAGAGACACCAAAACAAACTAATCAACAACAAATGGGGATGCTGGCGGCTCCTCCGGTCCCAAACGCACAGGCAAACTCCCCTGGAAGCCCCCCTCCCCTTTTCCCCGCAGACCCTCTTCCCGAAAAGTGGTGGCGGCGGCGTTGCCCCCCACTCCGGCGGGTCTCCCTCTGCCCCCCGGCGCATCCCCTCCTTACCTGCGGCTCGGAGGCGGAGGATGGCTGCGGCCGCCAGCAGGGTGAGGATGCGGCCCGCCGCCCCCCGCCGCCCGGCCGGTCCCGCCGCGGGGACCATGCTGCCCGGAGCGAGCCCGGCTCGGTGCCGCCGCGCTGCGCTGCGCTGCGCTGCCCTGCTCGGAGCGGTGCGGAGCGGTGCGGTGCGGAGCGGAGCGGAGCGGTGCGGAGCGGAGCGGGGAGGTGCGCAGCGGGTGTCCCCGGCACCGCCGCCCCAGCTCTGCGCTGCCGCTAGCGGACTGTCCCCGACTGGGGGCGGAGGGAGCCGCGCTCCTCTCCCCTCCTCCTCCACCTCCTCCTCCTCCTCCTCCTCCTCCTCCTCCTCCACCTCCTCCTCCGCCTCTCCAGCATCCCAACGTCACCGGGGACAAATCCGACACAGGGGAGGGGAGGGAGAGGCGCCGAGGGGCGGACGGTCCCTGCGCTCCGGCACCCTCTGCCGGGGGCTGCCCCCTCCTCCGGGCCGGCTCCCGCCGCCCCCAGCCCCCCGGGTAGGGGGAAAGCCCCGCGGCCCCTCCGACGGGCGGCTGCCGCCGCTCCCAATCCCCCCGGACGGCCGGAGTTAATTTTTACTTTCCGTCCCGAGCAGCGAGGAGAGCGCTCTGCCCCCAATAAGGCTTCAAAACATTTCAGAAAGTGATTTATTGCCGGAAATAGGGACGCCGTAAGCGCGATTTGAATATGCTTTCCTAAACCCTTTTTAGTTTATGTTTTCTGCAGTTCAAATAAACCAGCGCGCTAAGGTAACGCAGACCCGGGAGCAGGCATCTGTTAACTGCATCACGAGTGCCAAAAAGGCGCGTCTTAATTTGACGTACTTTTAAAGTTATAACTCATCAGTAAATTTAGTTAGATGTCTTCTCCACAGTCTTGCCTTTGCTTTAGACTTTGATACTAAGGATGTGATGTCGAGTAATGCTGAATATACGCTCTTAATATATGTATAAATATATACAAATCTCTTAACAACTCCCCTCCCCCCCTCCCCCCCCGTCAAGCTTTAAATGTACATGGTTCAGTGGTAGCGATTTTACATTAAATTTCTTTATTGCAAACACAAGAAAATGCTACAAAATACTCCTTTCTTCTTGCTTTTGCATCTCGTTTCTTCCCTCTCAGCTCTCCAGTTCCATCTTGAAAATTCTTCTGGCACCTACGGGTGACAAAGGAAGGTCCTGATCCCTCTTTGGTAGGAATGTAGGACTGGCTAAATCCAGTCCCTTGCCATCACAACAACACTTTTTGTAATCCCTTTCATAAACAAATGAAACCAAACTTAAGAGTACTGAGGACTTTCTTTCTTAAAAATGATTTCCACCCTTTTGATTAGAAGGCTGCTCCAGACCTTGCCTTTTCAATGCTCAGTGAGCTATTTCCAATCTCCAGTCTAAATTTATTCATTATCAGTTTATATTCCTTGCCTCTTGTGCTGCTGTTATCTTTTTCATTTAAGTATCTTCCCACTTCCCATTTCTATTGAAATAGAAAAAGAAATACTCCTCAACCTTTGTTTTGCTGCACTAAAGCTTAAATTGTCAAATTTCCTCTGGAACAAACAACTCTGCACTCCTTGATCACCTCTGTCCTCCTCTTCTCCTTTTTGTCTGCACTTTTGGAAATCTGATTGAATTTTTCTAAAGCTCTGTCATTAGACATGCTTTCTCTTCCAAAGCACTTGCACTTTCCTATCAGTGCTAAAAAGGCTAATACATTCTGATGATTACGGCACCTTTCCACTTAACAGATATGCTATGATGTGTTAGGAAATCTACATCCTCTGTCTTTATAAGTTCCAGTGTGTTCCTTAACAGCAGTGAACTAAATCAAGTGTCAGCCTGGCCTGGCACTCCCCCTTCACCCTTCCTTTTTTTTTTCTCATTGTATTTCAACTTATCAGGATGAGTTCTTTTTGTAAGATCATAGGAACTTTATGTTGGAAAAGTTATACTGCTCCATCTTTTATCAAGAATGGCTCTGTACCAGCAAAACACACTTGGCTGTATGCTGATAATCATAGAATCATTAAAGTTGGAGAGACCTCCATGATCATCGGCAGACCAACTAACAAGGATGTTGCATTGGCCGGGAATCGAACCCGGGCCTCCCGCGTGGCAGGCGAGAATTCTACCACTGAACCACCAATGCAAGCTCAAATATGATTTAGTGTGTCAAAACCAAAACAAAAAAATGAATAAAAAAGCACACAACAATATCCTCTATTTAATATGAGAGATAAACTATGAAGAGCATTCTTCCACCTAATATTTTCAAAAATTCTCCTTTCCCTCTCTTCTGCCAGCTCCTCATCCAATTTACAGCCTATGAATCACCTTCATCTTAACCTGTAACTTCCTTGTTGGAGGTATATAAGATGTTTAACTCAAGTCTAGATGAATGAGATCTAGTATAAACTTTTTGTTTCAAGAACCGCTTTAAAGGAAGCTATTAGTTCAACTGACATGATCTCTCTTCAGTAAATACACTGTGTTCTATATATTTCCATGATATTAACTTATCTTTTCCTCCAAACTGTTCCAAAGCTTTGCAAATTCCTGAGGCCAGACTAATATATCTATAGGTATCTGGATGGCTTTTTCCTTACTCTTCATAATATCATCTACAGAGATGAAGAGAACTGATCTCATGGGAAATGAGCAAGCCTGCACAGCCATGTAAAATGATATGTGAAGCGTATGCAGTGTGCACAAGCTGATGATAACAAAAACACTATACACTCTTCTGCTGCTCTCCAAAGTAAAGCTGCATTTGCCACTGATGGTAAGTAGCCAGGGTGTTTCTTACTTCCTAGTTATATGATACTGCATTCCTTTTGGTAGGTTACATGGATGAGGGCAAACAATAGTAACAAGACCTACAGTTGAATGTATTCTTTCTCCTTTGCCTTATTCTTTATTCCTGCTCTCATAAAAATAAATAAATAAACTCACAGAATAATTAGGATATTGACACAAATAATTTTTTTGCACTTGGGAACAAATTAGCATTAGATAGAAACTTCATTTGTGAGTGATTGTTATGTTATGAAGGCCAAATTACCAGAACAAGTTAGATACTGAGAATTTGCCTTCTTCGCAGCCACAAATGACTTTGTCACTGACCACAAAAGCTATCATTTCATATTTCACATTTGCAGGGAGAATCACTTGGCAAAACTGAGATGAAGTCACTAGAGTGAAGAAACCACAGTATGAATTCTTGTTGTGTGTTGTAGAAAGACATGTACAGTGGGAAGAGAAGGATGGACAATTGCACATTTCTTCTGAGTTGATTCACCCTACTCATGTAAGCCATTAGAGTGCTCACTTGTGTTCTGTAGCATATGGTCCCAAACTGTTTGGTCGCTATTTGACAAAGAAAAAGCTGTACACGTATTTTTTTGCATGGCCATATGGTACGTACCTGATAGGTGTAGCTGAGAGCAACAGGGAGAGCTGGAGTTTGGCCTGAGCTTGTCTGGAAATCCCTGATAGAGTTTAGATGAATTCCATTTGCCATGTGTGTCTGCTTTCATAATAAACATAACAAAAACACTTTAAAGAAAATATAAGTTCTCACGTGGTTTGAGCTTCAAGGACATAGTGGTCCTACAATCATTTTACAAGCTTAAATAAGTTTTAACCAGTGCACTATCTTTATTCAAAAAACAAATTCCACACCTGATCTTTCTATTCCTATGATATAAGGAGCACAGAAAAAAATATTATTACAAACATTACTTATATGCTCCACGTTTGCAGGATCAGCTTTTAGATTTTCTTCTACAATTGTTTTTACAACAGTGGAGAATCCTGTTAAAAGTCATCAGAAGTCCAGCTAAATGGTTAAGACATTGAGCAAGGTACAGAAAGTCCATGAGACTGGTCATGCTGATAAATGTTAGAGAATCACTTAATAAAAAAGAATTTTGGAGAAGTCACTCGGAAAACAGTGCTATATACACTATTCTCACATTCATACCTGCAAATTTCTGATATCTTTAATGAAATCAGCAACTATTAAAATTAAATCAAAAATAAGTTATACACTTAAAAAAAAACTTTTTCCTCTTACAGGAACAAAATAGTATAATTTTTTAATCATGCTTTTAGATCACTATTTACGATGATTTAGATATGTTATATTGAGATACATATATGTGTACAAATAGTAAGCTTCAATACATATTTTGAACAAAATATTTCACCTCTTCCTATTTTTTTTTTTTTTTAACAGGCACAGAATTTATCTCCCTTCTTGCTGTTGTTTGCACCTCAACACACACAAGTGTATCAAACAGTATTGATACAGAAGCTGGCCCCCCACAGAATAAGAAGATCTGACAAGCATTCAAGTAATCATCACTCTCGATAAATGGAGATCATCAAGGGCATTTCTCATTCCTAGAACTACAAGAAGCATTAATTCAGCTTTTCGTTTATTTCATGGGATAGGATGCAGACAACACTCACAAAAATAGAGCTGATTTTCCTGACTAGTAAAATCACACCCTCTTGAAGGTCTGAGCAACATGTGGTGTCTTTAGACTGATGTCTCCTCAACCCCCTGAGTCATAGAAACTGAAAGGAGCAGGAATTTTCATCTCTCTTCTCTATCAGTTATTCCTACAGGTAAAACAATTAGAGAAAGACTTATTAAAGCTTAGAATATGAATAAGGAACAGGATTTAATTTCTTTTATACAAATTAAGCAATAGCTTAAATGCCTGAATCAATCAATTTAATTTAGAGCTAAACTAATCCTTGAAGTCATTATGATTACACTAAAGAGTGAACGTGGCATTTGGCTTTTCATGCCCCCAAAATAAAACAGAGGGTTTTTTTTTCATGCAATTGTCATTAGCATTTGATGTAAGCTGTACTGAAATACTTCTATGTATTTTAGTAGTTAATAGCCATCATCCTGGCAGTAGAAGTCCAGTCCTGTAAATAACACAAATAATTAAAATCGTAACAATTTAACTTAGATAAATCTCAAAACAATATCCTTCTTGTTCTGGCTGTCAAGCTGGAACACCAACAATCAGAAATTTGGCAGATTTCAAAGTAAAAAGTTGTTTAAATGTCCTTAATCACCTAAGTTGCTTGTTGAGTTCATACAGAACTAGAAGTCCATTACCCCAAACCTCAGCAGTAGGATATTAAGTACTGCAGAAGTACTGCAGTACATTGCAAAACAACACTGAAAATGCATTACTCCAGTCAAGAAGATATGAAAACTGTCAGTGGATGTAAACACCACAGGATAAAGTAAAGTTCAATTTGAAAATAAATCAAAGGTTTCCAAGTTACCACAAAACTATATTTATATAAATATATATATATATATTTTTTTTTTTTGTTTGTTTGTTTGTTTGTTTGTTTGTTTGTTTTTAAAGGTCAGTATATGGACATCAAAATGTCCAAAACTGAATTGAAACAGCAGTTTATAAATCAGCAACCAAAGGGTACAAACTACAAAAAAAAAGTCTCTTTTTGGTGGGTGGGGGTGGGGCGTGGGGGAAGGCAGTGTTTGCTGGGAGAGGCCGGGTTTTTTTTTATTGGTTTTGTTTTCTTTTCTTTTCTAAAACTAGCCTTAGCTAGAGAAGAGGCTGTCTTCAACATTGGCACACCGGGTTCAGGGCCACATCAAAGAGGGATCAGAATTTGTATGCTGTGTTCCCAAGTGCACTTAAGAGTTCTCCAGATGGGAGACATCTCATTACAAGCTTGTCAAAAGTGCATCAAAGACTGCCTTGGCTTTGAAAAAAAATAGATGGATATACTCAAGAAAGAGGTAAAATCTGGCAAAAACTAAAAGCAGGCAGCTCTTATTGCTTAGGCCACAAGCATGATTTTTCTTGCAATTCCTGTGCCTTTGCAGTCACAAAGCAACCCCAAAATGGACAACAAACTTAGTCAAGAGAGCCAAACTAATTATTCTGCAGTCCTGCACTAGGGATCCATCATGTGGTAAAGTGAAATTCCTCTCCTTCATTCCTCTCTCCCCATACTCAGGGGCACATATGGCATACACACATAAGGGAGCAAGAGCTACCATGGGAAGAACTTCAAAGATAACACACAAACAGTAATGGGAACATGTATACAAGTAAAATTCATTTGGTGTTGCTGTGTTCGATGGCACACAGCAGATGAATGCTGCTGGCTTTAAGTATGCGATCCCAACTGTTTTTCCTTTGGTCTATAACACTTTGAGGAAGACAGTCTGCCACATTTTTCCCTTCTCTCAACTACATTCTGAAGTTCACACTTGTGAAAAGTAAATTCAGCGTACTGATGAATTTTCAAATGTCTGTGCCTGAGCAAATAGCTTATTCTGTAGCATTCACAGACCATTGTACTTACTGAGTAAGAACCTGAGAGTGACGTGAACTTGAACATAGGCATGAATACAACTGCTTAGCAGATATGCACACTAAATTAATGGGCAGCATAGATAAAGACTTGGGACTAAAATACACCAAGGAAGATATGATTACAAATAATTCTACATTTAAAACATTTTAAAGACTGCATAAATCTTTTTCTCCCCGGAGAGATATGTAAAGCCAGTCGGCTGGAATGAACACATCACCTGGGTCCCAAAGTCCCACATGGGCCACTGAAGTTCTCTTCTATTAAAAAAAACAAGTAAAATTATTTTAAAATAGATTTTTTTGTTTCATATAATTGCAAGCTTGCACTATGTCTGGTTCAGCTGGTTTTGATTTGCAACACTGCTACCCATTTTATACCCATTGTCCTTTGGTTTCACTTTCTCTTAGTCTATGTACCAGTCCCATAAACAAAACAAACAAAGAAAAAAATTGAAAAATTGAATATTTCTGCTCACTTAAAGACACTTTCTACCTCTTCTTGTCCCCTTTTACTGGAATCAGAACAATTTGAACAGCTGTTCACCACACCAAAATAAAAAACAGTCTACATTTTTCTTGTCCTTCTTACATAACTTCTTTGTTGTTACTAAAGTGGATTTTTAAATAGGTAATTATCCTGTCTCATCTATACAGTTATGGTCCTCAAATTCTACAAATAGAAGAAAAAGAAGTTGAAAAGAAGTTATCTAAGCATATTTTTCCCGTCATTATCACTGCTTTGACATTCTGTGCCTTTCATTCACAAATTAGACATGACAGGATTGGAGATCAACCATAATTAGGAAAAAAAAAAATATATATATATATATATATATATATATATATATATATATATAAAATATATATATATAGTCTATTGACTATTTAGACATAAATAGTTATTTATGTCTAAATATTTAGTATGTCTATTTAGTCTTATGTTTAAACTGCAAGCTCAGTCTGATCCACCAAGGAAGACAGGAAATTGCATCAGTCTGGGAGTATATTAAATAGTTCTCCCGAATGAAGAAGTCTTATCTCCCTATATTTCACAGGTAGAAGAAAGGGACAGAAGGAAAGTATGTTGTTTTGCCTTTTAGGGAAACAGATTTTTTGTACCTGGTCAGCTACTTTGGTGGCACCACGTCCATTTCACTTCAGAGATTCTAGGAACATGCATCCTTGTCTGAGTTCTGTTTATGTAACCAAATTTTGACATACTGGAGTCAAAACCTCTGATCTGGGATCAGTCTGCTTTCTTGACTTTGAGCAACCTGTCAAGGATGGATTATTAGATCAGTCACTGCTGTTTTCCCATAACAGCCGTAACATCACCAATATACAGGTACAAAAGTAGGTTTTCCTATTTTATCTATCCTATTTTATTGTTCAGAAACTGCTGAGCCTATGGTTTTGATGGAGGTTTACTTGACTTGTGTAACATCAGCTGCAGTGCTACACAAGTGTTTACCTGCCTCTCATGAGAGCCTTTCAAATGAACGTTCCTTGACATCTTTCTTTCCCAAGCTACCATAACAGCAGCAGCAGTCAACTTCTTACAACAAATCTGTAATTAAATTAAATAGCACAGTTAAATTAGACTCAGATGCTCTGAGCTATTGCATAGACTTGATGATATCTCTGAGGCACCAGTACCATTTTTGTGGAGAAGAGTTCATCTAAAAGGCCTCAGCATATGCCAGTTGTTGCCTTGTGCAACAGCTAACATTATGCAACGCTGGACCAAGAAAAGTCAGACCCTGAGCAAAACTGTCCTTTGTCAGGTTCTCAGCAAGCACAGGCCAGCATGCGGTGCCAGGAATCAACCCAGCTAAGAAAAATAGGAAGAGGAGGAACAGAACAGCTCATTTCCAACTCAGTTGAAGCCCTCTGGGAACATCAAGGATAACTGGGGAAAGTCTGAACAGCACTTTTACTGTCTGTAAGTTATGGATAATAGGAAAAATAAAGACAATGGAAGATAATATTATTTCTGTGTGTGGTTGGTTCTGAAGTACTCAATATTTATAGCAGTTAAGTCAGATGAGAAGGCATAGACTGATTAAGCAGAAAAGCCCCTGTGTTAAACTGTAATGTAAAACATATGAAGGTGGTCTATTTAAACTTCACATTTCTACACTTGTATAGCTTTTAATTCTACAGGAAGAGGGGAGAGACAGCATAGAAAATTGTACTTTTGAAAGGGTATGAAAGAAGCCAGTAGGCTTTTGTTATATAGTGACTTAGAATGCACAGAGCTGCTCACATGAAAAAAAGAACTTAAATAGAGCAAACAGCTTCTGAGACACACATGGCACTAGAAATAAAACTAACCAAACAAATGTATATGGGAGGAATGACTGAAACATAGGAAATAATTTATTCCATTGTAAAATGGAGGGGGGAATAGATTTTCTTTTAATGTATATTGGGTATGCATACATTTTAATATTGATGTACCACACACATAATTTTATACCGATGTGTGTATGTTATTGAAGTGTTGGAAGAACATTACAAGATTTTCTGTTGCAACCAACCACCCATAATAAATCTACAATTTTGCAAGCCTCACCTCCCTCTGCCACCTCCTCCCCCCTCTTTTTTTTAAAAATATATTCTTTGGAAGCAATGCAGAAATTCATTACAGTAAAATAAAGAAAACAATAACGCAGTAAGGAGAAGATGACTTTAAACAGAGTTATGCACACATCCATTATATTTCCAGTTTCTGTTTATATTTGGAATTTCACAAAGTTACCTATTCGTGTATTTACAACAACAAAAATCCAACAATTTAAGCAATATTCAAATATATTCCTCAGATACAATGTGACTGAATTGATGCTACTCTTGGAAATTCAATATTTGCTCTTTGTTTTTAGTTTTTACATTTAGCATGTTAAATACCAGAAAAGAAACAACTGTTGGTAAGAATCCCAGGCCAAAGAGTATTTAAAAAAACTTTATCTCTCTACCATTTATAGTAATAACAACAAGACTATGACGTTTCAGACTTTCAAGTCAGCCTTCCTACTACCTACAATGAACCCTATGGGGTTTGTTTTGTTTACTTAGTTGTATAAAAGGTCAAACTGACTTCTAGGACTACTGGAAACCATAGCATTTTCAACTTTCACTAGCATTAGTGGGAATCACATACCTGTATGGTGGTAGGATAAACTCCAAAATAATCCATTTTTAAAATCAAAAAGCAGATTTAAAGACAGACTTCTATCAGTGCATTTTACATGACTAGGCAAGGATTTTGATTTGATCCACACTCAACAGGGGTGCCTGTTATTGAAACCATGTGGTATCTGCTTGGTATGTAGGGTATATAATAATGCTGCTGTCAGCATTTGCTTTAAAATCTGATGCAATATATTATAAAGAAGATTTGAACAATCATAACTAAAATTTGTTGGGAAGACTTGAAACAAAGGATTGAATAAAGTTGAAAACTTATGGAAACAATAAAAACTGAAATGTTATAAAAAGAAACTTAGTATCCACATGGGAACTATTCTACAACCTTCTTGGCAAATTTTAATCAGACATGCCTAACAAAAGTAATGTAACTAACTTCTATATAAACAAAAACATACATACCTTCCAACAAAGGGATTAAACATTACAGTTAACATTTTTAGGACTACCATATATAGGAAAACTTGGTGCAATTGATGGCACTGAGCTTTTAGAAAAATGCATAGCCAATTAGCAGAATAATTTCTAATATATATCTGTTTATCGGGTCATCTTTCACGATTTTCCAACACAAAGACTATATTTACATTAGCATTCATGACATAATACTATCAGTTTTATTCCGTCTAGATTTATTTTGTCTTATTAAACCATGCTTTAAACTTTTCTGTCTAAAACACATACACTGATAATCACAACATCCAGAACAGCCTGCAATATTTAAACTTACTTAAACATTTTTGCTGTCAATGAATATGTATGTTACAGCAA